CCTTAGAATTCTCCTACCCAAACATGAGAACTTTAAACACTGTTCTCTTCCAGGTATTTATTCTTTATATGCATATTTTTTTACCTAATTATAATCCCTGTGTATTTAATTTTATGTTTTTGCTATGAAAGTTTAGGGAAACATTGCTTAGGTCTTCTTCTTACTTCCTAGATGAGTTACCAGGTATTTTGGCAAACTTTTCCAGGGTCACACCTGTATGTCTGCTAACACTGGGCCTCCAGTTTTCTTATTGTTCCTAGCTGAAGAACCTTAACATCAGTGAGTTTTTGAGAAGACCTAGATAATACCAACCTCTAGGCATAGAACAGTAAGTTAAATAGGACATGTGTCTGTAGATTTACATATATTCTAGCTTTTAAAACTTAGAAAAAAAGTACTGAGAGGTATTGTGAATCACTTATGGAGGTTTAAGATACAAGTACACCTCTTCTAAAGGGTTCTGAGTCCTTAATATGCAAACTCCTCCAAACCTTGGCACTGAACGCATTGCAGAAGCAACATTCCTTTGGCATGTTAGGCATGTAAGGGACTTTTCAGAGCATCTTGTCTAACACTCTCGTGGTACACACAAGGAATTCGAAGCCAAGAAAGAATGCCGATTTCACTGTTGTGGGGACAGAGCTGGAGTAGCAAACCAGGTCTTATGGCTCCTAATTCAATGCTCTTTCCAATCCTGAAAGGAAAGAGAAACAAGGGGAAGGATAGGATTAAGAAAGAAAGAAAGAAAAAAAAGAGGTAGCAAAAAAGAAAGCAAAGTTGGAAGAAAGGGCAGAGTGTACAGGGAATAAAGAAGAAAAGGAAGGGAATGCATATGAGGTTGTCAAGCCTTTGCTTAAGGTTCCCAGAGTAAACCGGTCCTCTAAAATTAGTGTCTCAAGTTATATAGGGGCACCAGCTAAGTACTTAGCCTTTCTTGTCTGCTTAGATATGTTTCTAGAAAGAGAGGGCAATGTGGCAGGAGGATGGTCCCTAGAGTTGAGAGGATGGTGGCTCTACGTCTCTGCTCTTCAATGTCAATGAATGCAATGCATGCCTTTTATCTGCATTCTTGTTTGCTTTTTTCTTGATGGAGATTAAAGGATAGATGAACAGGTGAAATATTCATAACTCACCAATGTTCCTCAAATGCCCTCTCAATATTTATTAGACTTCTATTGCCCTTGAGATATCACCAAAAAATGCTAAATATGCATTAGTGATATAGAGAAATGCAACCTCCTGCATTCATGGAAAGGTCCAGGAAGAATGTGTAACTGGTTCAAAGTGGCCTAGCTAAGAAGAATGTATCAACGATCTGATGTGGTGTCACAAAACACCCAAACATGTAGTGGATGAAGTAGCCTCCAAAAATGGCTGCTATCAGCTCTTTTATTCCTGGACATACACAGTACCTCTCAAGTCAGAAGGCAGAGTCTGTTTCCCCTCCTCTTGAATCTGATTGGTCTTGGCCAATAGAATGGCTCTGGCCAATAGAATGAAGCAGAAATAACATTCTAGAACTTACAGACTCAACTCATAAGAGAATTGGCAGTTTCTATTCCTCCGTCTTGAAAGTGAGATGCCATAGAGGATGTCTAACCACCTTGCTGGGAGGAAGCCCAAGCCAGGTACATGGACAGAGGTCATCTGGAGGAGAATTGAGGTGTCTGATATGTGAATGAGGCCTTTTTGAACCTTCCAACTCAGCTCAGCTGCCAGTGGCCAGCTGAATGCAGTCAAATAAGTGACCCAGGCCAGGCACAGCAGCTGATACCTATAATCCCGGCACAGCAGCTGATACCTATAATCCGGCACTTTGGGAGGTCAAGGTGGGAGGGTTGCTTGAGCCTAGGCATTTGAGTCCACACCTGGAAACACAGTTTGAGACCTTATCTTCACACACACACACACACACACACACACACACACACACACACACACACGAAAAAGAAAAGAAAAAAAAATTAGCCAGGCATGGTGGTGCATGCCTGTGGTCACAGCTGTTTGGGAGGCTGAGGTGGGAGGATTGAGTCTAGGAGATCAAGGCTTCAGTAAACTTGCACTCCAGCCTGTTCCAGCCGGTGTGACAGAGCAAGCAGGCAAACAACAACAAAACATGAACAAACAAAAAACCATGAGTGACCTTAGGCAATGCTCAGCTAGGTTTAGTTGACCCACTGAATGAGGAAAAATAGTAAATGGGTGATTTTGGCAACTAAGTTTTGGGATCATTTGTTAAGCAGCAATCAATAACTGAAACAGTGGCTTAAACCAGTAACCATGTGTTGTTTCTCATGAATCTATGAGTTGGGAGGGTGGTTCTGGCGATCTGGACCAAGCCTAGCCAACCTCATTCGGACTTGCTTGTGTCTCTGCAGTCAAATGAGGGCTGACTGGTCAAGGATGCCTCCGCTGTTATGACTCAGCTCTGCTCTACGGGGTCTTTCATCTTACCAGCAGGCTTATTCTGGTAATGTCAGAATTCCAAGACTGGAAACAGAAATGCGTAAACATTTTTCCAGTATTCATTTACATCAAGTTTGCTATTGTCTTGTTGGTCAAAGTAAATCATACAGTTGAGCCCAGAATAGGAGGGGATTAAGAAGTTAGAAGGAAAGACCCTGGATAAAAAAGGAGGTAATTTATTGGGGGCCACTAACACTATCAAATGTACTGCAAGGAACTCATGAATGTTTCTCATAGTTAGAGGAGTATTAAATAGCATTACTAAGGTTTTGGACTGAGGCCAGGAATCAACTGGAAAAATTACATTTAAAATTAAGCAAAATAATTAGATGAACATTTTCTGATTTTTAAATAGGTTTCCAAGATTTTCTGGCCAAGTCACTATTCTAGTGATATTGATGTTGTTGTATTCTTTCCAATACAGGATGACTTTCCCAAATTCCTATTGATAGAGTTAAAGGTAGAATAGGAAGAAAAACCAGGTCTCACACTACATACATGGCCACTCATTCCATTAATCAATTCACAGTAATAATGCAATCTTAAGGTTTTTGGTAGAGTTCCTTAAAATTCTGCTTCATAAAGTTAGCTCTCTAAATAACCAGTGGGCACCTCTGCTTTGAGACTTCTCTCTGGAAACCTAAGCTGTTTGCATTTGGGCTTTGTAGAAGTGGCTCTCAATACCAGGCTCATTAAAGGGAAAAGGTTCATGTGTATGGACACATGTATTTGGGCATTTATATGTAATGTGTGATCACTTTTGATCCACTGTGATTTCATTTAAGTCTGTTTTTTAACTGTCTTCATCTCTGCTGCATTACCAGAAACTGACATTGCACTTTCACTTACCACCACCTCCCTGGGAAGCAAACTCATTTTCTACCCTGGATTCCAGAGCTCGAGTCTCAGAGGCAGGAAAGGAGAGACTGGGAGTACCCTTCCCAGATCCCACACTGGCCCGCTAGTTACAGCGGTATGGTGCTGCCCCCTATACAGTGATTCCTACCAGTAAGATGAACGGTTCTTTGATCTGTTCCTGTGTCCTCCACCACTGGTCTATCCACCCCATCTTGAACTTTGTTAATACAATGTTTCTGCTAGTTACTGTTCACGGACTGAGAGTCCGCGAAACCGTATTCTGGTCCTTGGGTTTTAATGTTTTGAGACCTTAGTTTCTTCATCTGTAAAGTGAGCAAGCTGGACAAGATGTATGTTCCTCCTGCTCTGAGCTGTGAAGCGTCTAGGATGCCAGGAGAAAACCAGACCCAAGTCACAGGGTTCTAAACAAACGATACCTTAAATCTGTCAGTAATGGCCAGCCACATCTGGAAGAAGCAGGCTGGGAAAACAGCTGAAGAATAAAGATATTTGTTTTGTCAATTACGCCTCAGTGAAACTGGAAAAAAAAAAGATACTTCCATTATGAAGAAATTATTGCACTTGATTCAAGGCTTATATTAAACAATAACAGACTCACTCAAGGTGGCGGGGAGAGAGATACAAACAGATTACAAAGCTGAAAAGAGGTTTTCATTTGCAGAGAACTAAGCAAGTATCCTTCAAACAGAAATTGGCTGACCAAGTCAGAGGTATCTGAATATAAGGATCACGAAATGTTCCCCAGACAGAATGCAGCCCACGTTTTCCACCGTTGTTGTTTTGGTAAAGAAGGAGAAAGTGGAAGGAAGTGATGAGGCTGAGAAATGCCATTTGCTTCCATCCAGCCGGGAAGGATCCGCTACCTTTTGGTTCCTATTAAGTGAATTTAGGTTTAGCTTCCACGATAGCATTTTTCCAAAGGAGTCCTTTAGATCTGGCCTTTACCCTCTTCGCAGCTAGACTGACATTAGGTGACACTGCAAGTGCCCCCAGCCCACTCAGCGGGATCAGTAGGAACTGCTCCTCGCCCCCCACCCAGCGCTTTCCCATGACATCCCCCAGCTTCTCTCTCCTAGGTCCCCTCGCCAGCCTATCCCTACCTATTGGGTAGGTCTTACTAGGAACACCTGCTCTACTTGGAAGGGGAGCAACCGACGCCTTGGAATCCTAGCCTGTCCCTTCCTGGTGAAGGGGGCGCCTGCGCTTAAGTGCCGGCTTCACTGCCTCAGGCAGAGTCCAGCAGGTGGGCGACCTGGCGTAGCTGAGTTCAGTGGCCTGGGGAAAAGGGACGTCTTATCCCCAATACAGCCGGGTTTCGCAAGGCTTTAAGACGCTGAGAATAGCCGGGAACCCCTGGGATAGCCCTGGAGTCTTGGAGGCACCCGTCAATTCCAGGGGCCCACTCCAACCCCGCTCTCAGTCTGTGCCAGCGGCGGCGGGACAGGAACCCGGTCCCCACGCACCGACTGGGACGCCCATCCCACTGCGGCTGAGGCTCGAGCCGCCGCCGCTGCCGGTGCAGCAAACCCGTCTGGCTTCCCCGCAGGGCGTGTGGGGATGGGGCAAGTGGGTGGAGAGAAAAGGGGAAGAGCTTGGGCGGCCGGCGGGCGGGGCCTGCAGCCTCCCCAGCCGCGGCAGCCGCCGCGCAGCCGGCTCTTTCTGCGCCCTGCTCCGACTCCGGCGCGCACCGCGCGGGGACCCGCGTCCGAGCCTGGGGGACGCCGCCGCTGCTCCCCTCGGCCCCAGGTCTCCGGACGCGCAGTGGCGAGGCTGCGCGGGCCGTGGAGCCCCTCGGAGCTGCTGAGCTTTGGCGGCCGCTCTCTGCTCCGTCTGGCCGGAGGACCTGCGGGGAAGGAAGGGGAAAGCGGGGACACACACACACTCGCCGCGGCGCGCGCGCATTGCACACTCGCAGCCGCGCGCCCCCGCCGAGGCGCGTCCAGAGCGAGTTTGGCCCGGCGGCTCCGGCCCCGGCACCTGCCCGGCCCCCGTGCTGCCCCCGGCCCCGCCCGCCGCCCCCTCCGCCCCGCAGCGCCTCCCGCCCCTCGCCTGCACTGCTCTCCCTTCGCCGAGGGGAAGCGACAACGTCCCGATAAGTTGCAGACTGTGGCGCAACTGGTCTCGGTAGCGGAGGCACCCGAATGCTGCCCGGGTGAGGTAAGTTTGCTGCGCGTCCCCGACCCCTTACCACTAGACCCTCCTGAGGGGCTCGCGCTTCCGGGCTCTGCATCTCGGCTGAAACCCGGCGGTCTCTACGCTTCCACTTTGCCTGTCTGCGTTGTGCTGGGGGTGACGTGGAGAGGGCGCCCGTGGCCACCGAAGCGGGACCTTGGTTCCGCGGGGGCCCCAGCTGCGCGCTCCCATCGTGCAACCACCCGCTCGTCACCCGGATCCCCGGGGCCGCAGTGACACTCAGAGATCACTCAGGGTTCACTTAAACAGGAGCCTCCTCCCCGTTTCAGCGGAACCTGCAGAGTTTGGCAGTGGAAGGAAAGGTCTCTCCCACCCTCACCTGGTACGAAACAGAGGTGAACTTGTTAGGCGCCCCTGGTATCTCCAGAGGGGCTTGCGAGTCGGTGTTCTGCCCATTTTTGGCGCTGGAGCCGGATTGAACAGGTGCGGTATGGTTCCAGTCTAAATGCAGCAACAGACTTCTGTGTTTCCCAGGCATTTTCTCCCAGCCTGGTCAACGTGACCAGGGGCAGGGGCTTCACCATCTGGGGCAGGGGCTGGGAGTGTGGGGGCACTGGGGAGGGAGAATGCCTGGGTCTGATTTGCTATGCCGGTGCCAGGAGTCGCCAGAACAGAAGACAACAAATGTCTGCTTATCTCGCATCTATGCAGATGAGCATGTTGTCATTTCTTATCCCCCCTTCAACCCCCAACTGCTTGTGTCTGGTGCCCAGCGTGGTTGAGTAGAAACCTGTTCCAGAGAAGTTGTTTGGGTAGGTTGGTGAATTCTTTTCATCGAATCTACTGAAATCAGGGCTCCGAAAAGGCAGTGCTAGTTACTCTGATGCTTTTTTAAAGGGAGCGAGTTGCAGACCAAAAATGACACCCACTACCACTACCTCTCTTGACATTCTTAGATGCAGGAGGCCCCAGCTCTAAGGCGAATGCTCCTTAAGAGATCGATAGGTCCTCAGAATGTGCTAATCTCGTGCAAGGAAGAAGTGCCTCTATGTCAGTACTTCTGAGTCTCGGTTTGGGGAACCCCTTTTGTCCTTCTAATAAAGCACATCCAGCCAGAGACTTCTCCCCTGTTCTGTGAAGAGACCAAAGCGTTTTGCTACTGTTAGAGTGCAGAAAACCGAAAGGGTTGGTTTCATTAGCAGTCTGATGAGATGAAGTAGGATAGTGTTCATGGAAGCGTTTGCTAGAGCATTCCCACCTGAAAGGAGACTCTGGAATAAAAACCTTAATTGGCCACGTGTAAGCCAGTGGGAGGTTTAGTGAGTTTCAGGTGTGATCTCTGAGCAGAGGGAAAAGGTGGGTTCTGATATGAAAGGTGGGCCATATCAGAGGCTTATGAGGACTGATGAGAAAGCTGGAGTTTGAAACTGATATATGATGACATCTTACCTGAGAAGGAAAACTGTAAAGCACTGAATGATAGAACCATGTTACATTTTTGTCCATGTTAAGGCTAGAGAGATTTAATAATAACACCTTACATTTGCATCCGTGTCTTGCAATTTGTAAATTCTTTTGAGTGTTCTCACCTAATTCCAAACCTTTCTGAGGGAGGCAGGGCAAAGATTATTTACCACGTATACCCAGAAAGAACGTGAGGCGCACAGATCAGAGATTTATCAAGGTAACAAGGGCTGGTATTAGAATTGCAGTTAGGTTTTCTGTCATAACTAGGTGCCTCTTCTGTACTTATATAAGGTGTGTGTGTGTGTGTGTTTTTTTTTTAACGGCAGAGTTCTGCATTTATTGTGGTCTGCATAGTCTCACTGTAAATTACTCTTTACATTTTACAGAGGAGGAAACTGAGGTTTAGACAAGCAGCTGGAGTTTTCTATGGTTTCACATCTAATTTAGTGGCATTTATAAGGCTAGAACTTGGGTCTTCTGATGTCCAGTCCATTTCTTTGTGCATCATTTAACTTCTGATAGCAATGAGGACACATCATGGAAACTGCAATACATGAGGGACTGTTAAGCATGCCCCCAGTGACCTGGGTTCTAGTTCTGGGGACTACATTTGGCTGTATGATCTGGGCCAAATCATATCACTTCCAAGTCTCAAGTGTCTCACATATTAAAACAACTTTCTAACTTTAGCATTCTGCAGTGTTTACCAATGTGTTTGTAATCCAATGTTGTTATTTTCTCTAGGGGAAAGAAAGCTTTTTACTCTGTATCAACTAAGAGACCTAGCTAATTACTCTTTCACCTTTAGTTTATCCCTTCCCTCCTTTACTGCATACCAGCTAATTTTTGTGTTTTTTGTAGACATGGGGTTTCACCATGTTGCCTAGGCTGGTCTGTAAGTCCTAGATTCAAGCAATCCACATTCAGCGGCTTCCCAAAGTGCTGGGGTTATAGGTGTGAGCCCCTGCGCTCAGCGAAAAATGTTTTTATCTATTCATTATGATTCTTTTGGCTTATATAGATCACCAGACTCAGAAATAATACTTTGCTCCAATTCATTCTTTCTTTCTTATCCAAAAGAATGAAATTTAACAAGTGTGTTTTAGCTTAGCATCTACAGTATATTGTTTAGTATTACTGTTTGACTTGAAAATATTCTGAGGGGCTGAAGTACTGTAAGGTAGCTGTCAGGGTTTACTTGAATATTCTGACTGTAAGCTCACAACCTTTTTTTTTTTTTTTTTTTTTTTTTTTTTTTTTTTTTTTAGCTTTATGGTTTGCACAAAGTAAGTACTCAATAAGTAGCTGTTGAATTAATGAAGAAGGTGAATGAAGTTGTTCCTAAGGAAAACATATGCTGTAAAAATAGAAAGCATCTTGTCACATAAATTCCCAACACATAAGATAATTTACCTACAGGCATGTGCCTCCTGAAGCTGGCAGGTATAGAGCCCATTGTTGCTCTCTTTTCTGAATGCATCATATAGGGAAGAGCTTTTCTTTCTCCCTGTAGATAATAGACTCATGTCATCTGTGTTATGCTTTTTTGTTTGCCCCGACCCCTTAGTAGTATAACTGCTAAAATGTACATTCCTGGAAATTGACTTGTCCCATTTTATGAAAGGGTATGTCTTGAGGTGGAGAAACCATTCTGTTTTTAAAATAGGGTATTGAGTAAATTTTAGGAGATGCTAATACTGGCTTGTGGTTTCAGAGGGGGAACCTAATTAACAAAACCAATCTAGTTTCTGTTCCTTTTAACAGTCTTCTCTTTCTACTCCTCCTTTTCATATACAGACAAGTAGTGTTTTTATGTTTGGAAGAATGAATAAAGAATATAGCTATCTTAAATGGTATTAATGGATCTGCAGTTTATATTGGGGATTGATGTATATTTCCTTCTGATGAAGAATTTAAATACTAATTAGTTTAGAAACACCTTTTATGGGTAAGAAAACGAAAACTTAGCTGAATTGACTTGCTTATGGTCACACAGATGATAGCACGAGGTCCAAGACCAATGTGGAATTATTAAGAAGGTTCGTATTCAAGTTTGTCCCAGGAGTTCTATGGTGAAGGTACAGTTTTGACTTTTAGAAATCATAGAGATTAACAGAAAACTTCTGTTTACTATCATTATAAGAGAGAGTTAGTACATTTGCAAATAGTTTAGCATTTATATGTTTAAGTTTTCTTGCCCAAGCAGATGCCATTAAAAAGAGACAAGCTCTCACTCTGTTGCCCAGCCTGGAGTGCAGTGGCGCTGTCATGGCTTACTGCAGCCTCAGCCTTCCCAGGCTTAGGTGATCCTCCCACCTCAGCTTCCTGAGTAGCTGGGATGATAGGCATGCACTACCATGCCCTGCTAATTTTCGTATTTTTGTAGAGACAGGGTTTTGCCATGTTGCCTAAGCTGATCTGTAAGTCCTAGATTCAAGCAATCACACACGGTCAGCTTCCCAAAGTGCAGGGATTACAGGTGTGAGGCCCTGCGCTCTGCCAAAAATGTTTGTTTTTATCCATTCACTATGATTCTTTTGGCTTATATACATCACCAGACTCAGAAGAAATACTTTGCTCTAATCAGTGTGGGAGAGAGGAAACTGTCTGAATAGAAACCAAAGGCCTGTAATCCCATGGGAGGCCAAGGTGGGAGAATCACTTGAGCCCAGGAGTTTGAGACCAGCCTGGGCAGCATAGCAAGACCCTGTCTATACAAAAAATAAAAAATGAGCTGGGCATGGTGGCACGTGCTTGGGGTCCCAGCTACTTGGGAGCCTGAAGTGAGAGGATCACTAGAGCCCAGGAGTTTGAGGTTGCAGTGAGCTGTGGTCACAGCACTGTACTCTAGCCTGGGTGACACAGTGAGGCCTTGTCTCAGAAAAGAAAGGAAAAGAAACACAAATGTATGCTGGTGTTCTCAACTTTTCTTCCTGGTAAATAAAGCCAAAGGTAGCCCTGTCTTACAGCTGGTAACGTCATAAATATGTATACATTGTATTTGCATTTACATTTTGCTTGTGCTTCTGTTAGATGGTGAGTCAGAAAATTTAATATCCTGGAAAAATATTTTTTTCACCTATGGCCAGAACCTTCAGTAGATTCTGTAAAACATCAAGTCCTAAATGTATTTGCTGCTGAAACGTGTTCTCTTTGTATCAAGTGCATTAATGGGAGTTGGAAGGAGTCCTTCAGTTTTTTTTTAGAAGCTGGCCAGTTAGAACCGTACATTATGTAGCTCCACTGTTCATTAGTGGTTTTATCAATGGAGCAGGATGTGTTATTTTCTGCTGAGTGCCAGGGAAACCGGGGAGGAGGAAACCTAGTCTTTTGTTTTATTTTTTTTTATTTTTTTCTTTTTAAAAATCAACTTTAAACTTAATTTGTTGATGAAATTTTTGTGGTACTGTGTAGAAAACAGTCAGCTGCTTTTGAGAGAGAATCGTGTGCAGTCAGGTTCCTTTTAATATGTAAGATTAGGTCAGAAAAAACAGGCTTGTTTTGTCCATTTTATTCTCAATTGTATCTACTTCTGTATCACTTCATCAGAGGGTATA